TAAGGGAGTACCGCAACTGGACTGACCGGATTTCACAAATGGCTTGATTATGAGTCCTGGGTCTTGTGCCTATGACTTGTTTATACTATGATTTGTTATGTTTTGCATATGACTCGATTATGAGTCATGGGTCTCATGCCTATAACTCACTCCAGTCATATGACTTATTTATGTTATGATTTGTTATATTTTGCACATGACTCAATTATGAGCCATGAGTCTCATACATATAATTCACTTAAGTAGTATGACTTGTTTATGTTATTATTTGTTATATTTTGCATATGACTCGATTATGAGTTATGGGTTTTGTGCATATGACTTATTTATAAGGATTTCACATGGCTCATAGTTATAAGTTGTCAGGGTTAGGGTTGGCGAGAAGAGCACTATATAAGAAGGCTAGTATGGCTGAGTAGGTTAGGCTCTTCACACTTTGTTTTAAGTAATCTTCCTTACTTATTACTTTATATGAATAAAGCATCTTTATACTCTTTATCCTTTATATTTCTTATGAGCCTAAGGGCAATATCTCTATACATTATGATGGTAGGCTTTACCCATACAAGTGTGAGTAATGTAGGTCAAAGAGCCTAAGAACTATCAACGGAAGAAGATATATATATATATCGAAGAAAAGGTATCATTACCCATTATTATATATTAATAGAATCTTAGGAATGTTACACAGAGCTACAGAATACTAGATTATATATATAAGATATTGTAGAACCTTATCATAGTAGTTATTAGATGTTATTTACTTTTTCTAAATATGTTTTATTAATAATGATTATAATTATTACTTTTATTATATTATAAGTTCCATATTAAGAAGTAGGCTCAACTTCTGCTGTTGTCAAAAATATCTTACTAGATACTACTCAAGTTTCCTAATGTAGTTTTGTCTATACATATTTGAAATAGCTATGAGCTATTCTTTTACCTACCTCCTTTCTAGTACAAACTTCTAATGATTTTTTGCTATTTTTATAATAGCTATTTTGCTAAATTATAGTCTCAAGAGTCTTCTTTCTGGTCGGATAGTTGCTTCAATTCTTGAATTTGAATAGAGAGCTTTTTTATATTTATCCTTGATCTAAGTCTTTGTTCTGAAAATTATTTTTTACTTTTTTTATTTAATTTTTATTTAATTTTTTCTTTTTCAGTTTGGTTGGGTTCCTTTCTGGTTGATATCTGGATAATTTATTAAAGTTCTTTCTTTTTTCCGATACTTTAATTACTAAATTAATATTATTCTTAATTGTATCAGGTCAATATTGTGCAATACGGTAGTTGCAGAGTTGTAACACAAACCAGATGCACTCCAAGTTTTTTCCACTTTTTCAACCTGGAGTAATTTACCCCTCATCCCCCAGCACCCCCGCGCGCGATAGATGTCATGACCCATATGTTGTAAGCCAGAAATATTACCCCATACCCATGCCGCAATCCCAACGCCGAGCTCTGGTATGATAACGCCGACGCAGGGTCTACCGCACGGTAATCCACCCGCCCCACAACCAAACTCAACCCAACAACTCCGATAAACGCGAGATCCATCGCGGGAAGAAGGCAGGTATCATAATATTATGTAGAAAATGGCGCTTCCATCTGCGGTGGCCCTGGAAAGGTGTTGAGATGACGCAAGAGCGAGTACGGTAATCATTCCCGGGGGGGTTTGGAGGTATGGACACAAGCCAAAACATATGGTACAGTACCAGAATCAGGGGGGAGTTCGAGCTTTCTTGGAGTGAGTTGATACAGTAGCACCCAGATGGAGAAAGTCTCTAATTATTATATTATTATTTCTTTTTTTCCCCTTTTGTTTTCTTGGGATGGTGAGGCATGGGATGCTCTTTCACGGGGGTGTGGTACTGTACAGTACCTGCCGGGAGCAGGAATGTTGTATGGTGGGGCACGGGGAGGTACAGTACTGTACCGGGACAGCAGGCTGCGAGAAATCATACCTAATTCAAGTGCCCGCGGCTTTGCGCGGTGCGGACTCGATACAAAAGCACTAAAGAAATATGCATCATATTATCATACTTCAGACGCGCCAAATTTTTTTTAATTTCTTTCTGCAGAGCTATAATGATTAGAATGACCACAATTTCTGGCTTTTCGAGTGATTGTTTGTGATGGCAAAGACTTCGCCTTCCGAGACCAATGCCAGCCACGGCTGCCTAATATTGTGATAATATTATGTGCTAATACAGCAAGTTACGTCAGCTCTACGAGTAGCCTATCATACTATCATACGAGTATGCTGTCACGGTGCTACAGGCATTTGGATATTCCATATCTAATACTCGGGTCACAATTCCTCAGCAGTTGAATTCCCCTCTGAGCTAAAACCTACTATACGTCATGTATACACCAGGTCCTATCATACCTTTCCCCCATCATGCCGCGCTCCAAATCTATCAATTGCCAAAAGCTACGATGAATAAGCATAACTCTCCCGTAGAACCCACTTCCCGCGGATTCGCACTTTTTACTCACCTGGGGGGAGTTTTTTCTTATCCCAAATAGTGCGCTGAAGGGATATGTACAAGTACAGTAGTGGTTTTGGTTCCTAAGTTTTCCGATGATGGCGGCGGTGATGACGAGGTGCGGGAGATGTAGGAATTGTGATTTTTTGCGAAGGTGGGGCGCTCTGTGGGCTGGTTATAACCTGTGGGTGGGGATGATAGGGATGAGTGGCATGGTTTTGGTGGGTCATGATTTATTTTTGGGGGGGTTGTATGAGACGCGGTGTGATGCCGTCATGACAGGACGAAGCGTAGTAGACTATGATGTTTTGATTGTAAACTGCGTGAGATGATTGTACAGTACATGATGTCGAGAGTATACCCGAGAGGGAGAGAGGGAGAGAAGAAAAGACAAGATGATACATGGATGTTACGGGGAGGGTTCTGGGTGAAAGTAGTTGAAAAGGACTGGCACGAAATAGCAAATGAAGATCACTTCCTGAATTTCGGCTTGTGTGATATAAGCCCTTCCTTTCTACTTATGCTGTAGTAGTGGGCACATCATCCCACCCGTCGATATCAAATTTGCATACAATGTCTCTATCCTTCCTGTCTACCGGCTTCGCGTCGTTGTCGTATAGCGTTCGCTCAACGTAATTTACCTTCCCATTCTTGTTAAGGAGTATAACGGTCTGCTTGTGCGTTCCGTATAGTCTCTCAGGATGGATCCATCTGTGTTCCTCCTCATCTGGCGTGGCGCAGTAGTGCTCCACTCTATCACCGCTGTTGGCTGCAACTTCGACGCCACGACTTTCGTCAGCAACGGATTCATCATGGCCGTTCGTTTCGGGAGTCTCGGGGGAGGTTTCGAACGTCGGGATGAAAATGGAGTGTCGCAGAGCCTCTAGTTGCGTCGCACTATCTTTCCCCCTCGTAACAGGCATCGTATCGTGGCTAAGGATAGCAAACAGACCCTCCAGTAATTCATCTTCAGACTTTCCGGCCGAGTTCTCGATGGTTTCTGCGAGCAAATTTCTGCCGATCACCACTTTTGGCCAGGGATCGTCGAATAACGAATTGCTTAGGCCATGGGTCTCGCCTTTGCTGCCTGCAATCCAATGTGCGCTGCTTTCGACCCCTTCGTCACCAGCGGCGGTTCGATTACAGACCACGGCAATTTTTTCCAAGTTTGCCTTCGGGTCGCTACTGGATGAACTTGGACGCAGGATTCCGCACAAGAGGGAGAACCCTCCCACGCCCTTCATTTTTCCGTCTGCAAGGAGCCGGTGGAGCCATGATTCTGTAGAGCCATTGAGGTCCTCGTGTGACGTCAGGAACGATGTTACTATTGAACCGCGGGACTTTTGGCTAATTGCCGCTGCAGACGAATCCTCGCAGAAGTTGGTTAGGACGGCTAGGCGCCCGGAGCGAGTGATTCCTAGCCATGTGCCTGGCGATGGATGGTTAGATACATGCGATCTGCGGATGGGTAGAGGGGCGGGAATAAGGGAGGGAGTATGCAAACCGTGCTCAGGACGGGCGAGATCTCGACCCGAGAATATATGGGAGTACGGGGGTTCCCAGAAGGCGGCTGGTTGTGTCGGGCGATGAAGGAACTCCTAGAGGCACTGGGTGAGCGAAGAGCACGTGTGGAAGGAACAGCTATAGTGAAATTTGGGGGGGATGCATACTAACGCCCTCACAGAGTGGGGAAGCTAGTACCGAGTCATCTGATGTGGTGGAAATGGTGGTGAAAAAGAAAGCAAACGTACATCTCTGTTGTTGAGGACGATAAGAGGGTAGTCGGGGTGGGCGGTGGTAAGTAGTAGGATACACATTACCAGGATGGTGGGGGAAGCTGTTTGTTTGATGAGAATTTCTTTTGGAGAGCTGTAGTTTCTTTCAGAATTGACACGGCAGTCAGTGGTTGGGGCGAATGAGGAGATTAGAGATACAAGGTGGGTGGCAGGAAGACAGCAGCTATTTAGCTGTCACGGACAATTTCTTGCCAGCGCAGCACTACGGACTCGCAGGGGATTGCGAAGGAGGTAGGAGGGAGGGGGGCGGGTCGACGCAAGTGATCTCACCCGTCAATGAGGGAGTGCCTGTTCGGACATACGACTCTGGTGAGGTGCGGGCAAAGAGGAAGGAGAGTGGTGGCTGGCCGTGCAACAACTGAACATGAATGAGCAGGAAGTGGTACAAACCTTGGCCGTCCCACAGTATGACAATGCGTGTACGAGTACAATTCCGCTCAAGTTAAAGTACCAGTTTCTTGAGCAGCAAAAAAGAGTGCACAACGATCTCCCAACAATGAAACCAACCACCAGTAGTAGAGAACAATACCTTTGGATTCCCTATCTCTCTAATACCGGGGGGATGATACTTGACTCCCTTTGTTTTGTTTGCCGGCCATTTGTGAGAGGTGGCAGGTGGTGGGGCGTTGCCCAGTTGATGGGGAGAAACAACAGCCAACTTGATCGACACATGGCAACTGTAGGTAATCCTCGGTGCGGCAAATTGAGCGAAAGTGAGTCGGGAGCCACAGACAGATGCTGTTTTTTTCTTATTTCTTACCGGACGAGTATTTTTTATTCTTTCTTCTTCCGTTGCCCTTTCCTTCGGGGGGTTCGGGGAGGGTTAGGGCTGATTGACACGAATCTCCTGACGCCACGGACGAATCTTGACCTAAGTCGATCAGAGTCGGTATAACCGCACATCCAAGGGAGCTTCATTCTCGACAAACATCAAGAAGCTGGGGAGGGGATGAATAGCGGAGTGAGGGAGTACGGGAACCGGTAAGGGTGTAAACAGTGCGGGGTTTGAGAAAGGGTTGATTGAAAGCTTGAAGTGGGTAAGAGGGTGAGGAGAAGAAGGATGAGACGATTTTGATTAGAGGATGGAAGGTTCGGCCAGTTGGGGAGAGATAAATGGAGATATAGAGAGACAGAGGATGAGGGAGATCAATCGGTCAGCGGAGAAGCGTAAGGTGAGTATTCGAAAAATGGAGGATCATGAGAAGCCTCAAAGTTAGAATTTAGAGTGATGGATCGGGATTCTAGATGGCGCTGATCGTGATCTGGGGGGTGATGCTGACCCGGTCACGGGGTAATCTCTCATCGTTTCTTGGGGAAGTGAGAGAGAGGGAGAGAGGCTGGGGGGAGAGTACTGTACTGCTGTCGCTGCAAGTCACTCCGTCAAACTTTGGGGAGAGTAGAGAGAGCTGGCGATAATTGAGCATTTTGAATTGTTTGTCCTTTCTGTGGATTCTATTTAGTAAAGAGTGTTGCAACCTGTTCTTACTTCCTTCTGTCTAGTGCTCGAGTAGAGATTACTTGCGGAAAAAAAGAGTGAGAGCTGGCTTTAGTTTGCTCGGTCTGTCCTCTTCTCTGTGATACTGTGGCTGGCTGTTTATGCTGCCTGAGCTGCACCAGGGAGAGGAGGAGAGGGGCTGTTTTTTATTCGGTGTGGTGGGGCTCCCTCGATGCTGGTTGCTTGCTCTCCTCTGCCTGCTGCAGTTGCCCCTCCTCTCCTCCACTCTCCTCTACGTTACAATTCACAAAACCCTCCCTCTTGTCCTCCCCACGCACCACAGAAACCAAAACAACACACACGACACCCCTCCCCCCCACACTTCCCTTCGTATCTTCCTAGACTCTTCCCAAGATCCTCTTTATCATCCCTCTTCCGCCTGTTTCCATCCATCTTCAGTTCCATCCGTAGCTTCATCCATCCTCACATCTATCGATCGTCAATCGTCACAACGCCCTCATCTTCGACAAACCTTATTGATTTGACATCTATCCTATCCATCGATATTGCCCTTTTTACACATCCCCCACAATGTTTGATTTACTAGCTAAGATTCTTTGGTGAGTTAGCGAACCCACATCGTTGAGATTAAGTTCCGTATCTCGATGCGACGGATAGCTTCAACCGGCTTCCCGCTTATCAACTCTGGTCCCGACTTGAATACAATTTATCCTTCACAACCCCCCTTGCTAACGTTTGACTGTCTCGTGTGTGCTCTAGTTCTGTCGCTACTTTCCTCTTTCCTGTTTTCGCTTCGTACAAGGCCCTCAAGGCCAACGATCCTACACAATTGACACCATGGCTGATGTACTGGGTGGTCATCGCTTGTATTTTGGTTGTTGAGTCATGGACGGGTTGGATTCTTTGCTGGTAAGTTCCCGGAATTGCGGGATGATGTTATCGAAGCTTTATCTTAACCCCGTTTTTATCAAGGTTCCCATTTTACCAGGAGATCCGTGCGGGCTTCATGTTGTGGCTGGTCTTACCGCAGTTCCAGGGAGCTACAAGGTTATACGTAGAACATGTCCACCCAACACTGGACGCCCACGAAAGGGAGATAGAAGAGTTCATTACCCGAACCCACGATCAGGCCAAGGCCGCGGGGGTCGAGTACATACGTAAACTTATCGATTATGCCCGGGAATCCTTATTTGGAACCCTCCAACAGGCCCACCAGGCGGCCATACAGTCGCAACATCCTCCGCCTCCGGAGGATCCCACCTCGTTTGTTCAGAACCTATTCACACGGTGGAGAGTTCCACCGATTACGCCCTATGCGCCACAAATGGCTACAGATTTCTACCATTTCTTGTCGTCCGCCTTACAACAGCAGGGGGATCCATCCGCTCATGATGGGATGCCGAATTCGGCAACTTTAATTCCTCCCGGGATCGAAAGCAAGGTCGAGAAGACTCGGTTTATCGAGCTTCAGAGAGAGAGATTGAAGGTTGTTATGGCCGCGTTGGACCAGGAGATGAATACTATCCGCGGAACAGGCGAACCGGCTGGAGGAACCAGCATCGCATCCGTTCTTGGCGAGGCCACTGGAGCATACCCTTTGGAGAAGGGAAAGTTCTTCAAGTCCCCCAGCTCGGGCAACATGTCGAGTGCCGAAGGTGATTTTGATCACGTCACGATGAGTGATGCGACCAGCGAGAGTTCCCCGGGCACCGCTCCGACAGGCAAGTGGTCCTGGAGCTGGGGAAAGCCGCAACCATCTACTCCTTCCGCCGAGAAGAAGGGGCAGTGAGTGGTTACCGTATATAGTGGGAGGAATTCATTCCCTAGACATGGACTTTTTCCTTTTCTTTGTTATCGCAACTGGTGGGAATTCGGTGTCATCGGAACTTTGGTTGGGTGTCGTAACGTATGAAGAATGGAACATGATTGCTTCTTTCTTTGCTCTGTGTTGTCTCGACCGCGGGGGTTGGTTGTGGGGGGTTGCTGTTTATTGTAGAGATGAAGAGGGAAAGGAAGAGAGAGAAAAACATAAAACACATCACCATTTGTCTACCAATATGGCTTCTTTTTCTTTTTAGTTTGTGGATACTTTTAGGTCGATCGGTCGTTGGTACCGGATATATATTTTTAGGGTGTAAAAAAAACAAAGGAAACGTGAGTATATAAGTTTATTTCACCATTCTAGACTTGCTTGCTACATAGTCTATAAACACGTTTCCATCGAGAGGCTTCGCAGGATATCGTGAACACCTTTCTCCCGTACCTCACCTGTAACTCCTTCCCTCCCTTCTGCAGGGTTGCAGTACCGGTAGACTATCTGTATGCGCACCCCACACTTTATCCATCCCAACACCCGCGTGCGCCTTCTCAAAGCCACTCTCCTATGATATATACAGCAAGGCCTGAATACCATACCGTAGATGCCGAACTCTGGGGTTGCTTAAATTTGCCCTCCCTCCCTTGATCCATCTTGCGCGTAGGATAGCAGCGCTGGTGCGATGCCGTGCTACAGTACTTACAGCAAGGCTAAGACAGCCTTATCGTGAATTACGTCACAGCGCATGGCTTGAGGCTCTGTCTATATTATCTTACCTTAAGTTACCGGAGGAAGGGAGCGGTAACACCGGTACCCGGGACTTGATGGGTCGATGGATGGATGGATGGGTAAGTCATCGGTAGGTGCTGCCAAGTCAGAGCGTCGGTTGCGCAGGAACCGTGGGGGGGAGGGGGAGGAGAGAGGGCAGATTGGTTAACTGGAGTTATATGGGCACGGATGGGATGTGGATAATATGTGCATTGGTGGTAATTATTGTGGCTAATTTTGTTATAACAGCGTTTTACTTGCCATTTTGGAGTACGGTAGGTGTGAACGAACAGGGGGAGGGTGTTAATTCCCGTGAGTCATCCCGAGCCATAAAGAGATATTATATCTGTCCCTCTGTGCGCTATCCTACCTATCACAGAGCATGAAATGGCATACGTATACTTAATTCTTATATTATGTACACTTTACTCTCTATGCTCGAGTGTAGTGGGGAATATGAGCGTTGCGTTTGGGGTGTTGCGTGGTCTCTTTGCCCTCGGTGTGCGAAATGTATATTACTTGTACAGTACCATATCATACGAAGTGGACAGATTGCAGTTTTGCTTCATGGCAATATAATCGTCATAGATTATCACTCGGTATGGTTCGATTTGTGTTTCTTCTCGCCTCATTTCCCTGCGAGGCGGCGGGGCGGGATTGAGAAAATGGTGTGGCAAAGGGGTGTGATAAGCACATTTCTTGAATCGACGAATAGATAAATGGAGAATTGACCTTGAGGTGGAAAAAGAAAGGAAAAAAAAAATATTGGTAAAGAGAGAGAGGACGATTTTCAATTCGTTCATGGTAAATAGGTGGACAGAGTAGTGATATCGTGCCAATCTTTTTGTTGGTTAGACTACAGCCCTCCTCACATCCATTTCTCGGTCATTCACCGGTCACGTTTCCCGTGTTCGAAAGGCTGATAATCCACACCCGTCGAGACGACTTGGTGCTTGTCAGCCTTTCATCCCCCTCCCGCACCCGGGAGAGCCCGAGTCCGTCGGATTCGCCCGGGCTCCGGTATATTCACTCGGAATTGTGAATCACGCTCGCAGGCGCCGTTGGGGAATGTGTGTTTGACCGTGTCTTTGTGGATCATGTTGACTATTTCTTTATGTGTTGGCTTGGGGCGAGGGCGAGGGGACTTGATGTGATGCCACTCATGAGCAGGCTTTCCCGGGATATGCTGTTGGGCTTGCACATTTTTGTTAGGCCCTGTTTGGCCCAGAATTTCTTCGCGGAGGGGGGGGGTTGCGGATCCCTGGACACGCAGTTACACTGCGGACTGCATGGGTGCTTGTCTGTCATTTTCGCTATTGGCTTTTGAACAATAGCTCTAGGAAGATGAGAGAAGCCACCGAAGCCCTGTGGGTCGTGGGAAGGTTCGGGGACAACAATCTAAAGATCGGATGTCTGTTTGAATTTCTGGAGTTGTGTTTTGGGTAATCTATCGAATCACGCCGTTGCGCAGCCTTCGCCGGGTTGAAGCCCCCACGGCTACTCGGGAAACAAAGAAAAACAGCTTTTTGGAGTGGGATATATTACGGGTTTATCAGTCTGATTATCACTAAGCTGCTTTATTTTTCCCTGCTGCTCTTTGAACTATCCTCCGGTGCATTTGGTCAAGATCTAGGCTGTCTTGTTGTGTCGAAGAAGGTTGGCTATGATTGTCCCATATGTATTTTTGTAGTGGCTAATGAATGCCGAGGTATTTGGGAATTGAGGACTATGGTTATACCTACGGTTTTAAAAGCCAAGGGCTATGTCAATGATATTACCAGCGGGCGAGGTGTAGATGGCATGATTGGTAACGATATTGAGGTATTCCTCATCCTGACAGAGTGGCACTCTAACTATATATCTCGCATCATAGTGTTTACCAAATGTGAGATTGGTGGTTCTGAAGGGGTGCTCTGTATGTCAGATTTGATCTGGGGCTCTAGCTGGCCATAAGAAGTCACTTGCCGAGAGACAATCTTTAACATCGCGTCTGGTATTTTGACCTTGGTCTATTCCAACCCTATACTAGCTAAAGGGGACGGGCTATAGGACTAATATCCGGTGCTGCCCTACTAACCTTTCCGCTCCAACACTATCCCGTGAACAAGATCTGGGAGAATGCTACTGAGTCTCTATGAAAGGTTCATCCGGATGATCTCCAAATGACATGTGTCCCTAATCAAGCTTGTGTGAATCGTGTAAACCAAGGCGATTTTCTAAAGTCCAAAGGCCGACTTGTCGACACCTCCCCATAGTTACTATGCCAGGAATTTCTAGTTGGTGAACATACCTCCTGAGCAGCATCTATGAAGGAAAGAACAACGTCCAGTGAATTATCCGTCTCCTCCGAGTGCTTAGGATTTGTGGCAAGCACGGTATGCCGCGCTGGATGCGCAATTTTGAGATAGCCACCTGTGGCAAGATAGTCTGGAGGATTCGGGAATAATAATTGGCCTGCTACTCTTCATGCCCAATGGAATCTCCCTGTTCGAAACACGGGCCCCGTTCACTCCTGCTTCCACATGATATCGATACTCGACTTTCGTATCTGTGTCTACGGAGCGCATCTCCTTTGGCGAAATGCTCGGGTACTGGAATGCTGCCTCCCATGGGCAAGATAGGCCTGGAGGGACATCAATCAGGTCGACGTCGACTTAATAGACTATATCGCATGTCCCATGTCGTCGAACAACAACCTTACCAACTGGAGGTTGGGGTCCCTTCCCCCTAGTGAATGATATAAAGTATCCAATCCCGGGGAGGAACGGAGGTTTTGGATAGTGCTAAGCCCGTCTTGGTTCCTTGGGGTTGCGGGCTACGCCGTAGAGGCAGGAGGAAGCAAATTACTTTATAGGAATTCATTAATTCCATATAAGCCTTTGATGAGCCTTATATGAATCTAGAATAGTTTGGTAGATTATTTCTATAATAAGCCTGAGGCTATACCCATTTACTTGTAAGCCTATGATTTTCTGGAAGCTTTTAGATTTATATATTTCTTATATTACAAATAATTATTTTCTCTCATATGAGCCTATTATTAGTAATTAGCCTATTTTTTATGAAACATCTTTAATATAACCTGTAAGTAATATATGAATCTTATAGAAATTGAATTCTACAATCCTTGTAACTGTCCAGCTTTATCACCCAAATTTCACACTGTGATGGTTAGGTAAACTGGCCCTAATACAAAATTATTATAGAATATCAAAATATTAACAGAAAGTCAAAAGATTCTCTTATAATAATTACAGTTAAGTAAGAGGCTTGTAGAAAGAGAAACTACTTAATTACAGCTTATGAGCTAATTAACTTTATAGAAAATATTATACTAACAGATATCCATATGGTCAAACTTAAAATTAGGCTGAATTATACTTTATTGTTTACAAAATTTAAATAAATAATACTTGCATTTAGATAGGCCTTATCCTATAATAAGATTCAGGTGAGAATTTCAAGTCATATCAGCATGATATCATTATTATTAAGTAAAAAAGTCCCCTATGAGTCTCATATAAATCTTACTTAGAATGAGTGAATTCCTATAAAGTATGGATCTATGGTACAGATTTTCCCCTTCTGAGTTAACTTAACCCTCTCTTTGACGTTGTCGGGCTGTCAGTTAGGGTTCGCCCACATGAGCCCGCTCCTGTCGGAGATGGATCCTGCATCCTAAGGTCCGTGTACTGTACAAAGGTGCTTTATCTTTGTTGTCGTTGGTGGGGATCGTGATGCCGTGATGTTCCTTACTTACTGATGCTAGAGTTAGGGAATTGTCACGCAAGTGACTTATTCCTAGTGTTGTATTTCGTCCAATAAGGCAACACCTGAGAGACCTTTGGCTATAACTTGGTGACTTTCACGTGAAAGTTTCCCGAACCGGTGACACTGTTGAATCTCCACCATAGGAGTGGTGGGGGGAGGACCAAAAAACGCGCAATTAACCAGAGAGACTCTCTGGAACTTGTTCACTTCGAGATCCACGATACGATAATTTCCTTAGATATTGTGCATGAGTGAGAACCTGGTAGGGGGGACAAAGTGCCAAACTGGGCACAACTATTGCCGGCAGCAGCATTTTATACTGTGATGCATACCTATACATTACATGTCTCATAGCAAAGCGTCGGTCCCCTCTCCGGTCTTTTCTACTATCCTTGGTTCAACGGACCCGGTACACAGAGAACCTAAGTCAGAATAGTCCTTATATACTATCAGGATTTGAAATCTCGCAATGGATTTATCCTGATAAAAACTGGTATCCGGAGGATACCCACCGCAATTTCTACAAAGAAAAAGCGGTAAGAGTGAGAGTACGGGGTCCCCTGAGTCTTGCATTTAAGCAGTATTAACTCCAGTAGTAGAAGGGGCAAGTGTTTGGAATTGGTAAGATGTGATACGGGAACTCGACTGGTGAGTATCCGTGTGAAATATAATATTACGAGAAGTCGAAGATTGGGAAATTA